CGCAAATCAAAGTAACGCTATTCACATGTTTAGAATACTTAAAGGAAAATAAAATACATATTATAAACTCATTATTGTGCATCTAATACTTGTTTTTTCCTTTCCTTTTTAGAATCAAGTGGATGTGTAGACTTGACAGGCGTATTTTCAATTGGAAGTATTAAATGTCTCTAAGTCTCAGTTCAAACACATAACAAGAAAAACGGTACATCATGAAGTAAAAGGAGACAAATTCATTAGTAAAGTAATATTATTATAGTTCGCCGCATGGATATACCACTATATAGCCTCTTGTTATCAATAATAGGGTCACAAAACAAAACTAAATAAAAGTAGTTAGACACTCATGATTCATCATTATTTGCGATTTTTTAACGATAAAAACAATGAAGTCTAATTTTTCATGACAGAGAAAATGTTGTAAATTCATTGCTTCTTTAATGCCCCTTGCTTTAGAGGAACACTTTCTTGCCAGTTGGTTATGTTCTTTTAAACTATGAGTGAGTTTTTTTTCTCATCTTGGGCGATCGAGGGCCAGCTAATCACATGAAATAATCTTGGGTAAAATCGCCAATTGCTGATGCAGGCTACAGAACGAAGAATGAGATCCTGAGCAGAGGCAGATCCAGGGGGAGGGTGCAGGGGTTGCGCACTTCCCCCCCCGTGAGATGACCCTGCGGTTTTCTATTACAACTGATATTCTGCAAAAAAAAAAAAAATGGTTTATTGGTGCTGAAGTAGAGCAAGAGACGAGTGCACCCCCTCCTAAAAAAATCCTGGATCCGCCCCTGAGGGTATATAGAAAAGTGCTCCATGGCTTTATCTCAAGCTGCGTTGCCTGCGTGAAGTCTGGGAAAGGCTGGTCGACTCTTTCTCGGTTACGTGACACAGCTCACGGTAGAGTCAAGGTTTCACCGAGCCGAGCGCATATTGTACCCTGGGTACCCGGGGGGAGGGGTGTTTTTCAACAAAGGTTTATACCGGGAGGCTGCGCCCTTAGGTCCAGACCCTTAGATAAGGAGGCGGGGGGAGGTGATCTCCCCCAAAAAATTTTTCGGCCTATCGGGCCTCAGTTTGGTCTAAAAATAAGGGGGGGGGGGGGGTTTCCCGGGCCCCTCCCCTGGATCCGCCACTGCCCCAAGGAAATGTTGGATTCTTGGATTCTTGATGGCACGCTGTGGATTCCGGATTCCAAGAACTAGATTCCGGTTGCCTTGAGCTGAATTCCAGATTCCAAACCCCACGATTGTGGATTCCAGAAGCAAAAATTTCCTGGATTTGCATGGGCCGACAGGAATCAGGTCTGATTATTAATTGGTTTTGTATTTGTCGTTGTATTGGCTGCTGACGCTCACCGTTGACGTTTTTTTTCTTTGTTGTTGTTTTATACGTTATTATTTATCCTTTATCCTGTTTTCTAAATAGTAAAGAAAAGTATGAGTTTGTCTAATCAGGGCCTTAAGAGATAACATGAGTAAAGATGTTTTAACAAGCTATTTAATTTTTATTTTTTATTATCACTTGTGCGACCAACCATTGCGATCATTGCTTCTTGTTTGCATTTCTTTTATTGCTGAGGCTTGTGTTTACATGGGATTTTCCATCATAGCCGTTGCACTTGGTGCAATAATCACCGTAGTTTACAGCGTGAAGATTTTTTTCATTACCAGTTACGGATTCCAAAATAACGACAACTATCGTGCAAAGCTGGCAATTATCGTAATCATGCATGCTTATCTTGGACACTCTTACGTATTGGATTGGCATCTGGACTGAAGTTTTCACCTGTTTGTTTAAGCCCTGCAGCGGACAACGGCGGGTAAGTACCGTAAACTATCCCTTTAAGCCCTTCTCCTTCCCACTTATTTAAGCCCCCCCCCGCAAGTTAAAGGTCTCTCAGGTGTTCTCTGACTGTGAACGCAAAAATATACCCGATTATAAGGCCCTCCGGATATAAGTTCCACTGTAGCTTGTATTAATTAAAATGAATTAGATTTATTTTGACTTTTTGAAGCTCAATTTAAAAAACAGTGATCAATACAAAACGCATTTTGACCAGCACGGCTGCTAAAGCTTGCAACGTTTTACAGGGATGGCAGCGGACTTATTATAACCCAGATAATGGACATGACATGATCCAGATGGCTGGAGGTGTTCCTGTGGCCATTCCAATGCAAACAATTGACAGCGGAGCTCCAGCACAGGCTTCCCACTAATCGATGGTGCTAATGCTTCCTTCTAATGCTTTATTGGGTTAGTATTGAATTGCTGAAGAATCCTCTTCTGAAGGGATGAACAATACCCCACCTAATGCAATGTCAAATGCAGATTTCATACACTCATGGGTTCCTAATTATAAAGTGCTACTCGGTTTGTTCGAGCATGGACGTTACGCACCACTACAGAACAAATACACAAGATCAGTAGCAGGTTGAATGGTTGATGTGGAGCTAAAGGTTGGGTGAAATAGAACTTCATTTCTCCGAAGAGATCAAGAGGCTTGATGAAGAAAAAATTAAAATCAAGCTATGCAAGGGATAACTGTGAGAGAGCAGGGGCACCCAACGACAATTTTCGGAAAAATAGCTGTTCGGAAGACGATTTGAGATCTAGAATTTTCGGAACATTTGTTTTAAAGTTTCTTGCTTGCCTGCCTCTCCTAGGATTTCGAACATCTAAAAAATGGTATAATTGCCTATTTTTAACGGATTTTTACCCTAAAAAGGGCACCTAGAATTTTCGGGAGCCTTTTTTCTGGCTGAAATTTTCGAAAAGGTAAGTTTTGATCCCTATAATTTTCGGATCACTTGACTTTCAGCTAGGAAATCCGAAATGATGAAAAACTTTTAGGGGATAAAAATATTCCTATATCTACCGTTTAAATACTAAAATACGTTTAAAAATTCTATGTTTAAGTGGTTTTGAACTATATTCTCGTTGGGTGCCCCTGAGAGAGTTTTAACTCTCTCACCCGACACGCAAATTAGGTCATGTCGAGCACCAACACAGTATAGTTATCGTAAGACTTGCATTTTGGGGGGAACACATTACATCAACAGCCACAGAAACGGTGTATTAACTTGCATCTAACATATAAGGTTATTAGTTTTTCTCTAACTTTGTTAGCAGATTAAGATGAAGAAGCAAGCTTACCCTGTCGACCAGCTTGCTTAGAACCTGGTTTTAAAGCATAGTAACTGTAATTACACAAGAAACGCTACACTGGTCAGACTGACTGGTTTAAACAATTATTGGATTAGGATATTTGGAATAACCAAGGTCGAGGTTATTATCGACCGAGGCTGATATTACTTACCGAGGCCTTGATTATTTCAGATATTACAAACACTAGGTACTGAATCTAAGTGTTTTATTATTAATATCGTAAATAATCTAATTGACGCCTTCTGTCAAATAAACGTCCCTTGTCTAGACTCCTCCCTTACTCTTTAAGTTTGCATTAGACGCCCCTCTCTAAATAAACGCCCCCTGTCTAGCAGACGCCGCTCATGACAATTGTTGGCTTCACAACAGAGCTCTCGAGAATAATCTAAGTGAACTTGGAACCTACTTTGAGTGTGAAGGGGTAAAATGTACCTACTTCAACTTTACTTGATGCATGTCCATGGAAACGTCCGTAGTTCAAAGAAGCCGAAGTTCGTCGCCAAGTGTGGTCTGCACCACACTTGAGAACACACTCGACCAATAAGAAATGGAAGCCGTGTGCACTATGTCTGCGATATGCACGTGCCGCGGTTGCAAGATTCTAATGAACGGACAGCTTTTGTCGCGAGCAATGACGATTGTGATATGCATGAATAATTTAACTGCGAAAGATGATTACCAGCTTGTACTTCAAGTTACTATACTACATGTATACTTTATCAACAAGTGTGAAGCCATGTTTTCTACAGAGCGACTAAAGATTTTCAAGTGCTCTTGAATCAAGTGCCTACTTGAAAGTACATTAGCTTCTAGTGTGAAGCCAAGTAATTACTCCAAAATAATAGGAAATTGCAAAATGGAGGAAAATCATCCACTTTAATCAGTTACTGATTGATTAACAAAGGTTTGTGCATTGCATCTTGTTCAATTTCAAGTTCAAAGAAACAATAGGCCAACGATGACATCACAATGACCCTGATAGCCTGATTTTCAGACGTCCAAGTTCGATCGTGGACCGTCCGNTCCAAAATAATAGGAAATTGCAAAATGGAGGAAAATCATCCACTTTAATCAGTTACTGATTGATTAACAAAGGTTTGTGCATTGCATCTTGTTCAATTTCAAGTTCAAAGAAACAATAGGCCAACGATGACATCACAATGACCCTGATAGCCTGATTTTCAGACGTCCAAGTTCGATCGTGGACCGTCCGCATCTCTCCCTATCTCGTCGGGAGAAGGAGAGAAGCGGAGGGGCCGCGATCGACCTCGGATGTCGGCCAAGAATAAGGCTATGAACCTGAATAAGGATTCCGACATCCACTGTTAAGTTAAATAGCAATATGGACATGCATGAATTATTTAAGGAGCTGTGTCACGAAATTCAGCCAAATTAGAAAATTACAAAATGCCCATTAAATTAAGAGAAACATAAAAATAACCGCTTAAAACTTTAAAGGAAGGTTAAAATAACATAACAGAAACAACAGATGCCAGGGATGGGCAAAACTGAAGAAGATTCATTTGAAAAGGATTGAAGTTAGGGTTTTTGAAAACTGTTCAGCCTAACAGTTTTTCGAAGTCGATTCCTGCTTCTTGCAACTTCAAAAATAATGCTCTGGAGATATATTTGTTTGTCTCGGATCTCTGATTTTGTCATTTGCATGTACGAATTTCTTTGCTTACTTTAAGTTCCGTAGCGATTGAGGGCGAGTAATTGGCAAAAATAAACAAAATGAACTGGACTGCCGTGACACAGCCTCTTTAAACATTCATGAGAGTTTAGTGACGCAGTCTTTATAGTTTCCGTGTTGACTGCAAAGCCGCTTTGTCAACATGGCCGAAAACTCAGCAAACACAGCTAAAATGGCGAGGTTTTTGGCCATTACTCAAATCCTTACTGGAGTTTTACTGCTATGTTTTGGCATTGCCGATCGACTTGTCCCCGGAGGGACAATTCGCTACGGGCATTTCGGAGTTTTCTTTGGAATATGGGTAAGCAATATTTTTAATTCCTACTTAATCTGATAAAACTTGTTATAAGTAATGGTCCAGATAAGAAGGAAGGAACCAAATGCAATGAACACGTCGGAACGCATAAAGGTGCTAATTTCTGCTTGGTTTAATCATAAAATCTTACGAAATTTCACAAAGCAGCATGTATATTAATCCCTTGTATTCAAACCAACTTCCTTATAACAAAATCTCGTCTTAGTGTCACACAGAAATCCTATGAGAGGAACATGTAAAATTGTAAACTTTTCTTGGCTATTGTTTGTAACTCTTATGATTGCATGGTCGAAATCTTTTAACACAATGAAACACCCTTTAAAACATGAAGTTTAAATATATTTTATTTCGTAAACTGTCTCTTGGTAGGTTTGTCCATTCTCTGCCGAAAACATTCCTAGTATGTAATCAACAAAAGAGATTACTTCCGTGTAACCCGGATCATTACTTAGATGCCGTTTAAAAAGGGTCTGACTGAATCATATATACGCCTTGAAACACGTTTTTTTAAAATACGGACATTTTTATAGGAATAACGAGGTTCCGTTTGCCCAGATATCAATAACAACGAAAGAACGATCGACGCCAATGCAAATCAATTGACGGTTCATCGGGTACTGAATGCATTACAAAGCTTGGTTTTGTTTTGTTCGCCCTTGAAGTGAGCGGAACACTCTTAACCCATTCGCTCCTGGAGATTTTGCCGAAAAGACGCGTTTTGAAGCTAGTCGGGTGGTTTTCTGGTCACTGTCGTGCTATAAAGAGCTAAAACTTACCACAAACCGCTTTGCAGGTCGTACACTTCGCGGCCTTCTGATCCAGATGCAAAATATCAGCTTGCGAAGTTCGGGCATGCGCAGAAAGCAAAATTTCGACAGTGTTTGGGTTTAAAAGTGACACAGCAGTCTTGACTTTTACTTTTCGCTTTCTCTCCTCCCCTCTTTTTTCGCTTTTGTTGCCTCATTTTTTTTTCTCTTACTGGGGATTTAGTAGGCTTCATTTTGGTGGGAATATTTTTTAGGAAAGCTTTTAGGATCTTAGGATTAGGTGAAAGGAAAGGTAGGTGGGCAATGGAACAAGATTTTCATGGAGATTTTCAGGTCAATGTTACATGGTTTTTTGCCTCTTTCTCCGGTTTCCTTGACTGAATTGTGCTCATTCTGGCATGGTTTGAAAGATCTCTTCACTCTGCACAAGTTAGCGGACAAAGTTGTCCTTGACCGTTAAAACTGATGACGTCACAAGGGGTAGAAAGGACGTGGATCCGCACGGGCGGTTACGGGCGGTTCAGGGGCGAATGGGTTAAGGAGCCCAGGAATCTTGTTTTAAAAAAGTAAGGCTTAATGACTTCGCGATACATTTCAGTCTCAGTTCATTGAGCCCGAAATTTCAAGACAAAAACGTCCGAAAAGTGCTCATTTAATTTTCTTTTTAGCCAAACATATTTTTTTCCCAAAACAATTTGGCGTGATGGATCGATGACCAATATATTTTTGAGGAAGTCTAATACAGTTCTACATATCTGTATTAGAATGTGGTAATATTTTTGTATATTATACAGTGCAGGGAAGGGGAAGACATTACCAAAATGTAGACGAGAGGGAGGCTTGCTTACGGTCGAAATATTTTCCTTTGGGCGTGGTTGTAAGTCGTTTGTAGAGAGAATTGGTTGTTTCCATCTTGATACTTCTTACTGAGAAAAAAGTCAGAAACAAAATTAAACACCAAACCAAAACAAAAATTTCCCCGAATTCTTTCGCTTCTATTCAACATATGTGGCATCACTCTGCTTTGGGACCGACATTCTAGCCGAAGACACGTTTCAGGCATTTGATTTAACTCTACTCAAAGCGTGGCAAGTCGCCTTTAAATTAGATTTTATTATGTATAAACCATTCATTGTTATCTCTTCGGTTACAGACGTGTATCACAGGGGCTCTAGGAATCCCCGGAAGTGGTAGAGAAAGGACAAATATCCGCAATGCTTTTGTAAGTAAAGCGTTGCCCTTATTGTTGCCCAACGGCCTTAATATGATGTTGACCATTCCTTTTAACTTACAGTTTCCTAGTGGAATTTTTGCTTATTTTTTTTTATGAACATATTTTTTCAGGCTGCCCTTTTCATAGGTTTCTCCAATATATCCGCCGGTTTTGGTGCGGTAATCATTATAGTTTACAGCATTCTGATTACCTTGAATGACGCGGATAATGACGACTTCGAGTCCGACAATAGGTACCATCAAAGAAAGGTGGTTATTTCCGCCTTCATGCTCATTCTGGGTATCGCTACGTTTGTGATTGGAATGTGGGCAGCGATGTGCACCTGTTTGCTGAAACCCTGTTGCCAACAGCCGCAGGTAAAGTAGCCATAACTCGTCCCAAGTAAGAGGCGAATCTTTAAGGCAGTCTTGGATTCTGAATTCCACGATGTGGATTCCGAAATCTAGGTACTGGATTCCGGATTCGTTGTCAAAGGAACCTGGATTACAGATTGCAATCGTTAGCGAGATTCCGGAATCCTAGAGTTGAATTCCAAGGATTCCTTATTTTACAAGCAAAAATATCCCTGATTCCGGAATCCAGATGAGGCGACAAAACTCAAGCTCATACGTCTTGCCTTTCTACGTGTTCTAAAGCTGTACCACTTCGAGTTGGTCTGTAATGTAAATTAAAATAAACTGTCACTCGAGCCGATGGGAGTCAGCATTGTCAAAATTTCCTTGAGACATTTTTGTGGGTAACAGTCGAACCTCTATGTGCAACCAGCTCCCATAAGCGACCACCTCTCCAAAACACCAAAATTTTCCCAGTCAAAGCCTCACAGTTCTGACAGTTGGAACCACTAGTAAAAGATCACCTCCTATACGCGATCGCGACCAGATTTCGGGGCTGGCGGTTTTAATAATTTTCCATTGTTTTTAACCTCTTGCAAGCGCCACTTCACGCACAATGTAGATGTTGAGAACTGAGTCTAAAATAGGGTCGTCGCCTCGAAGAGTTGAGCCATTTTTGTAGGTTTCAATAAAATCTCCAAATATCAGTATAGATATGTTAAGAGAAAGAGAGAGTAGAAATATAAAGGAGAAGCCATTCACATAATTTTGGATACCAAAAGACGTATTTGAAATATCTAAGCTCCGAAACTGGGGGCTGACAATGGAATTTATAGTGCGGCTCATCTCCTTTCTGGAGGTCCATTTATTGCTTTTTGTAGTCCACTCTTAACCTCTAAAGAAAATGAGTGAATCAGCTACCACTGTAAAGTTTCCGGTAAACTTACAGGAATTTGCATACTTCAATCGCTAACAGGAAGAGCAGAGCATGTGCAGTAACAACCCAACGGATGGATACCTCATATCCCAGCTTAACGGAGGTGATCCTGTGGCTACTTCGATTCAACTAGGTAGTGCTGGAACTGCACCACAGGGTTCCCATCAACCGGTGGTCCTGGTGCCTGTTTCTGGTGCGTCACCATGTCAGCATGAGATTGTCCAAGTTGCCTCGTCTGAAGGGATGGCAACGAGCAACCCACAAGAGCAGTTTCAATCTCATCTCGTGCGCATTAGTCCATCTGAGGCAATGTCAAGTACAGATTCCTCCCCTCAGGAGAGTGAAATTCCCTGTTCGTTTAAGCATGGTGGTTACGCACTACCGAAACACGAGGAGGTAGGTGTGGCTTTCTGTGTAGTAGGGAGAGGAATTCCAATCGAAAGGTTTCCGATCATGTTTAGTTTTGGGAACAAGGACCAACGTTACAAAACAGAATGACCGAATCCCAGTAGAGGATCTAATTAGCCATAACTTCAACATCAACGGAAAAAAGCAAGGCTGATTTTACATTTCAAATTTCTTTTATAAAACGACTTCAACGGTTTTTGTTTTCATATACTTTCATCGTTCACTTTCTCCTTTTTATTCTGACACTCATAGTATCATATTACAGGCTATCTTTTATTGTGTGACCATGTCATTTGTATGTAAGACCCTGAAGAAGAAAGGCCGTGCCTTTCGAAATATTGGTAATACAAAGTAGCGTAATTGGTTTGTTTACAAGCGACGCGAGCCACCTTGTAAACGATAAAAGCCATGCACGAGAGAAATCTCTGCTAGTTCCTGCTTGCAGGGTAAATCAGTGTTGGGTAACATTTCTTGGCAGTCTCGGCTGTTTTGTACTGCCACGTTTCGTGTAAATGCTTTTGAGAGAGAACTATCCGTTAGCCCTTTAAAAGCAGTGATTGACTGTTTTATTAAGTCGAACCCACATATACATTTACTAAGTAAAGTACGATCACCGGTCAGTATGTGCCACCCAAGGCACTGTTTGTAACAACAAGCACAACTCGTCACAAACCAGGGGCGTAGCTAGGGGGCGGGGGTCCTGGGGTGCCCGTGACCCCCCCCTTGGTAGGCCTTCTTTTGAGCAAACAACCTACAATATTCAGGTGGCGAAAACGCCATGACAATATCTTGGCCGTAAAAGCCATTGTTGAAAAGCCCACTTTTTTAAAATTTGTTTTTTTGTAAAGTATTTTCGTCAACGGCTCTTGTCTTTAGTTAATATTGGCCTTCATGCCGCGATAATACGACCGATCCCGCTGATACACGAGGGAGAGCAGCGGTATAAACGATATATAGTCGGCGATCCCCCGATGGTGTCCCTATTGTGACCCCCCCTTTGAAAAATCTTGGCTACGCCCCTGCAAACGGACGGAAAGTTTAAGCAAAGCAAAGTGTATGTTATCCACTCATTATTATTATGTGCTTCTAATGCTTGTTCTTTCCTTTTCTCTCTCTAATAGAATCAAGTGGATGTGTAGACTTGACAGGCGTATTTTCAATTAAAAGTAGTAAACGAGTGTTAGTGTCACTTCAAAAGGAAACCAGCACAACGGAATATCATTCATGAATGATTGAAAGGTCAAAAACTCAGTTATAGTCATTCGTTGCATTTGTGCCAATATGAAGCTTAATATCTAGATTTAGCCAGGGCTAAAGGCGAAGCTCCCGATAATATTTATAGTTTGCTCAAACAAAATATATAATCGTGCAATGCTAAGAGGCGAAGGAAAAGAGAACGGTGAAAAAACTACAATTGGTCTTATTAGCTAAAAAGTTAGCTAAGTTGTTCATTTCTTTGCCGTTGTTTTGCACGACCACAACGTCAAACTTCCAGAAACTTCCTGGTTACTCGTTTTATGGAGGGAATGTCGTACGTGTTCTTGTTCATTTTTTTCACTGCCGCTCATTTTCATCTTGGTGGCCGCTAGCATTCTTATTCTCCCACCGCCGCTACAAAATTTTCATGTTGTTCTTCCAACAAAAAATGTCTCCTTTGTCTTTTATCTCCCACTCTTATCTAGCTGTATGTCGCTAATTCTCATTTAGCTTCGCTGGCCAGTCGTTTCTCTGACTCTCTCTTTCTCTGTATTCCAAATTTGTGGACATGACAATTAATCTAAGCTTAATACCTTAGACAACTCGGATACAGAAACAATTTCCGCTTTCTGTTTTCGTTTTTATTGACTCTTTAGTTGTCTTTACTTCGCAATTGCATGCGATTTCCCGCCAAAATACCCTCCAGTTGCCATACCTGTATGATGATTGAGTTATTTTACATTGGTATGTCTGTGGTGCGGACGGACGATCGGTCGGGCGGGCGGGCGTACGGTCAAGTGACTACCCAAATTTATCGGATGCATAGGTTACCAAATTTTCTTACTCATGGTGCTCCGCTTCGCGCGCGCGCGAGCTCCACCATTTAAAATTTGCATATTTTTGTGTGTTATAAGGTTCAACAAAATGAAAATAGTTAGACACTCTTTGAAAAAAGAAAAACATTCATCATTTGTAGTTTTTGATGTAAAAAAAAGATGATAAAGTTTACAAATCTTTTTTATGACGGAGAAGATGTTGTCAGTTTATTACTTCTTTAACGTCCCCTTACCTTAAAGGAACACTTTCTTGCCAGGTTATCTTTGTTAAATTCATGAGCTAATCAGCTAATCAGTATGAAATAATCATGGGTAAAATCGTCAATACGCCTTTTACCGATACAGCGGCCATATTGAATTTATTCGATTTAATGAGTATTATGGGATGCCCAGGGGGTATGAGCACGATCAGATATACTCGCATCAGTATTTACGCGCGCTTTTCGGGCCAGTTTTTCTTTACGTTTTCCTAGAAAAAGATTATAATGGGAAAAAAAAGATCGTTGTGCTGTGTTTGGGTGTAATAATGATTGCCTTTTTTTCGAGAAATATACAGTGAAGTTCTCTTTTTTCCCGAAAAGCGCGCGTAAATAATCAGCGAGTCCCCCTAGGGCATCCCATAATACTCCTTAAATCTAATAAATTCAATATGGCTGCTGTTTCGGTGAAAAGGTTTACTGGCCACTTTAGAAAAGAGAAGGAAACTGGACAGAGTTAACTTTCGCAAAGACTTCTGGGAGTGTTCTGGGGACACGCCGGTCAGCTATTGGTCAATTTGTTTACTTTGTCCCCAGTAACAGTCCCTGAAGTCTTTGCGTAAGTTAACACGTCCCAGTTTCCTTCTCGTTTCTAAAGTGGCGGATTGCTGAGACATGATACAAAACGAACAATGAGAACCCAAGTGTACCTACAAGTGTCCTTGGCCTTCTCTCAAGCCGCGTTGCCAACGCGAAGTCTGCGAAAGGCTGGGCGACTGCGACTCTCTCTCGGTCAGGGTTACGTGACACAGCTCACGGTAGAGCAAGGTTTCACCGAGCCGAGCACATATTGTACCCTGGGTACCCGGGGGGAGGGGGTGTTATTCAACAAAGTTTCATACTGGGAGGCTCCTCCCCGAGGTCCAACCCCTTACCCTTTTATATACCAAGAACAACGAGCTTTATTTGCATGACTATTTAAGCACATACAGTATTGCAAAAGCTATGTTTACCATTTTCGACAGAAAAGGTAGCCCTTCCGTATACCTTCTATTGACAAATGGTACCCCTTTCACATACCTTGTTTAGAATTTCCATCCCTTTTAACCGTAAATGCACTGTCACTGTTTGTGAATCAATCACAAAACCAGAACGTTTTCTCGAGTTTTCACAACAATAGGCCACTCATCCAGTGGTTTCTTTAAATTCAAGAATCCACTTTTGGATTTATGCAAAAGACACCCAAAATCCATAACTTCTAATTCAAGATCCCCATGGAATCTTTTAAAAATACTTTTAGACTGACGAGCCATTAGCTGGGTTTGCAACGTCGCGGAATCGAATGAAATGAAGACTCCGAATTAAAACGAAATGTTAGCTTGACATTGCCAGTTTCCCAGGTATAGTGCGTGATGTGGTTCATGATTTCAAGTCTTTGAAAGAAAAAAGGAGAAGCCATTCACATAATTTTGGATACCAAAAGACGTATTTGAAATATCTAAGCTCCGAAACTGGGGGCTGACAATGGAATTTATAGTGCGGCTCATCTCCTTTCTGGAGGTCCATTTATTGCTTTTTGTAGTCCACTCTTAACCTCTAAAGAAAATGAGTGAATCAGCTACCACTGTAAAGTTTCCGGTAAACTTACAGGAATTTGCATACTTCAATCGCTAACAGGAAGAGCAGAGCATGTGCAGTAACAACCCAACGGATGGATACCTCATATCCCAGCTTAACGGAGGTGATCCTGTGGCTACTTCGATTCAACTAGGTAGTGCTGGAACTGCACCACAGGGTTCCCATCAACCGGTGGTCCTGGTGCCTGTTTCTGGTGCGTCACCATGTCAGCATGAGATTGTCCAAGTTGCCTCGTCTGAAGGGATGGCAACGAGCAACCCACAAGAGCAGTTTCAATCTCATCTCGTGCGCATTAGTCCATCTGAGGCAATGTCAAGTACAGATTCCTCCCCTCAGGAGAGTGAAATTCCCTGTTCGTTTAAGCATGGTGGTTACGCACTACCGAAACACGAGGAGGTAGGTGTGGCTTTCTGTGTAGTAGGGAGAGGAATTCCAATCGAAAGGTTTCCGATCATGTTTAGTTTTGGGAACAAGGACCAACGTTACAAAACAGAATGACCGAATCCCAGTAGAGGATCTAATTAGCCATAACTTCAACATCAACGGAAAAAAGCAAGGCTGATTTTACATTTCAAATTTCTTTTATAAAACGACTTCAACGGTTTTTGTTTTCATATACTTTCATCGTTCACTTTCTCCTTTTTATTCTGACACTCATAGTATCATATTACAGGCTATCTTTTATTGTGTGACCATGTCATTTGTATGTAAGACCCTGAAGAAGAAAGGCCGTGCCTTTCGAAATATTGGTAATACAAAGTAGCGTAATTGGTTTGTTTACAAGCGACGCGAGCCACCTTGTAAACGATAAAAGCCATGCACGAGAGAAATCTCTGCTAGTTCCTGCTTGCAGGGTAAATCAGTGTTGGGTAACATTTCTTGGCAGTCTCGGCTGTTTTGTACTGCCACGTTTCGTGTAAATGCTTTTGAGAGAGAACTATCCGTTAGCCCTTTAAAAGCAGTGATTGACTGTTTTATTAAGTCGAACCCACATATACATTTACTAA